ATTGTGATCCATCCAGTCCAGAAGCGTGGGAGGTTTATCCACTTTCTAAGTTCTGTTTTGATTTCCTTTTTCAGGTTTTTAAATTTTCATAATAGAGGTCCTTCACTTCTTCGGTTAATTCCTAGATAATGTATTTTTGGTGGCGCTATTATGAATGGAGTTGCCTTCATGATTTCACCAACGCTTTCCTCATTGTGGTCATACAGAAAAGCCATTGATTATTGCGGGTTAATTTTATATCCTGCTGCTTTGCAACAGTTTTGAATCAGCTTCAGTAATTTGGGAGTGGAGTCGTGGGATTCTTTAAATAGAAAATCATGTGGTCTGCAAAGAGGGAGAATTTTACTTCATCTTTCCCTATTTGGATCCCTTTTATGTTTTTTTTTGGGCGGGGTCCAGTCATACGGCCTGAACAATGGGCCTGGGAACTGTCCCTCAACTCTTCAGCTCAAGGCTAGCCCTCTACCACTTGAGCCATTGTGCCACTGCCAGCTTTTTTCTTTTTGCCTATGTGATGCTGAGGAATCAAACACAGGGCCTCAATAATGTTAGACAATCACTGTACCACAAAGCCACCTTTCCAGCCTCTCCCTTTTATGTTTGCATCATGTCTTATTGTTGTAGATAGACATTCTAATACTAAATTTAAGAGAAGTGTAGTGAGTGGACATCCTTGTAATGTTCCTGAGTTAAGAGGAAATGGCTTTAGGTTTTCACCATTAATTATAATGCTGGCTGTAGGTTTGTCATATAAAGCCTTTATTGTATTGAGGAATGTTCCCTGGATTCCTAATTTTTCCAGAACCTTCATCATAAAGGATTTGTTGGATTTGTCAAATGCTTATTCTGCATCTATTGAAATAACTATGTGGTTATCCTTGCCATTTGTTGATGTAATGAGTTATATTAATTGACTTGTGTATATTGATCAATATTTGCATCCCTGAAATGAATCCTGTTTGATCGTGGTGTATGATATTTTGGATGAATTTTTGATGTCAACTGCTCAAAATTTTGTTGAGAAGTTTTGCATCAATGTTCATCAAAGAAATGAGTCCATAGTTGTCTTTCTATGATGAGTCCCTGCCTGGTTTTTGGATGAGGGCTATGATGGCTTCAAAGAATGATTTTTGTAGTGAACTTTCTCTTACAATTTCATTGAAGAGTTGGAGGAATGTTGATGTGAGCTCTGCTTTGAAGGCCATGTAGAATTCCGCTGTAAATCCATCTGGTCCTGGGCTTTTCTGAGATGGGAGGTCTCATTGCTGTTTCTATTTCAATGCTTAATATGGGCCAGTTAAAATTGTTTAACTCATCTTGGTTGATGTTTGGCATGTCAATATTTGCTAGGAAAAGATCTATTTCTTCCAAGTTCTCAAACTTATTAGCATAAAGGTTTGAGAAGTATTCCTTTTAATCTTCTGAATCTTGGTTTTTTCTGGGATGCTGTTTCCATTCTCATCTCTGAGTTTATTTATTTGGGTGTGTTCTCTTGTTTTTTTGATAAGATTTGCTAAGAATCTATAAATTTTGTTAATTTTTTGGAGAACAAACTCTTGTTTTGTTGATTCTTTCTATGTTTTTATTTTGGATTCTAATTCGTTTAATTCTGATGTAATTTTAATTATTTCTTTCCATCTACTGAATTGGGATTTATCTTGTTGCTCTTTTTCAAGGAGGTTCAGATATCTCACTAAATTGTTGGTTCCAGATCTCTCCAATTTATTGATTTAGTAATTAAGAGCTATAAAACACTCTGAATACTGCCTTTGCCGTGTCCAAGAGGAGCAAGTAATTTGTGTGTTCATTTTTATTTTTATTTTTTGGGGTTTTTTTGTGTCCGGTCGTGGGGCCTGAACTCTGGGTCTGGGTGCTGTCCCTCAGCTCTTCACCTCAAGGCTAGCGATCTACCAATTGAGCCATAGCCCCACTTCTGGCTTTTTTTTCTTTTTGCTTATGTGGTGCTGGGGAATCGAACCCAGGGCCTCACGCATGCAAGGCAAGCGCTCTACCACTGAGCCACCTTCCCAGCCCCTCATTTTTGTTGAATATCATGAATATTTGAATTTCCTTTCTATGCTCTTCCATGACCCACTGGTGTTTCAACAGTGTGTTGTTCAGCCTCTATTTGTCACAGGACTTTTTGGTGCATTTTGGTGTTGAGTTCTAATTTTATTCCCTTGTGGTCTGAGAGAAGGCAATTTAAAACTATAATGTTTCTGAATTTGGACAAGTTTGATTTGTGACCTCAAATGGTGTATATTTTGTAAAATTTTCTGTGAGCTGATGGGGAAAACATGTATCTGATGCTACTGAGTGAAATATTTGGTAGATATCTGTTAAATTTAATTGATCCATGCAGGTGTTTAGATCTGCAGTTTCTCTGTTGAGTTTTTGCCGAGTTAATCTATCTAGTGTGGATAGTGGTGTGTTAAAGTCCCCTACAATTAATGTCTTTGGATCTATATGAGCTTTGAGGGAAAGTAGTGTTTCTTGGATAAATCTGGGTGGTCTTTTGTTTGGAGAATAAATAGTTAGATTTGTAATATCCTCCTGAATGGGAAATCCCTTCATTAGTATAAAACGACATTCTTTATCTCTTTTCACTAATTTTAATTTGAAGTATATTTTATCTGATATTAGGATAGAAGCTCTCACTTGTTTATGGAGGCTATTTGCTTGGTAGATTTGTTACAGCCTTTCACTTTCAAAATGTGTTTGTTTTCATGGGAAAGTGTGACTCCTGAAGGCAGCAGATAAAAGGATCTTGCTTTTTAATCCAACTAGCCTTTTTACATGGCTTAATTGGAGAGTTAAGTCCATTAATGTTGAGAGTTAGGACTGAGAGGTGTTTGGGAGTTCCTGCCATGTTATCCACCTTCTGGGGGCTGCGGCAACTGGGTTCTTCCTATGGTTCTTGGATTCTCAGTTTGGGTGCTGTTTCTTGGCCTTTATTGTGATCTTGTTGGTTTTCTATTTGTAAGACATCTTTAAGTAGCTTTTGTAGGGCTACTTCTTGGGAGATATATTGTTTCAGATTTTCTTTGGTATGGAAGGTTTTTCTTTGACCTTCCATTATGAAGGAGAGTGTAGCTGGGTACAGTATTCTTGATTGATAGTTGTTTGTCTTTAGGGCATGGCATACATCATTCCCGGTTCTTCTTGCTTTAATTCTCTCTGCTGACAAATCTGAGGGGACTCTAATTGATTTCCTCTTATAGGTGATTGATCTTTTCTACTTGACAGTTTTATGGATCTTTTCCTTGGTCTGAATTGATACTGTGCAGATTATAATGCGACATTGCCATGTCCTGTTCTGGTCTGGTATATTTTGGGTTCTAAAAGCTTCTTCTATCTGAATAATCCTAACTTTTTGCATGTTTGGGAAGTTCTCTGCTAGGATCCTGTAAAACAAATGTTCTCGACCATTAACTTCTGTTTCTAGGTGCTCCTTTACAAACATTATCCTCATATTAGACCTACTGATGGTGTCTTCCAAATGTTGAATAGATCTATTCCATATTCCTTGGATTTGTCTTGGATAGTAGTATGTTATTTCTCTATAATATCAAGGCTGTCTTTAATCTCCAAGATTCTATCTTCTACATGGTTTAACCTACTGTCATGACTTTCTACTTTGTTTTTAATTTCTTTTCCTTCTAGTTGGTCGGCTTTAATGGCTTCAAATTCTTTGTTAGAGCTTTCTTTTAGATCTTTTATGAACTTCTATACTTCCTTAATTTGGTGTTCAGTGTTTATTCTCAAATGACTTAGTTGATTGTTTATGGTTTCCTTTGTTCCCCATTCCCTCTGCCAGGTCTATTCAGGATTCCATTTGTGGTCTCCCTGAATTCTTTCAGCTGTCTCTTTATGGATTCCATTAATGTCTCTCTTGATCTTTGTGTATTCTCATTCCGCTCTCACAATTGCTGTATTACTCTTTGATCAGCTTCCTCATGTTCATGCAATTCCTGAAGTTCTCTTTGACTGTTCTCAACCTGCTTACACAATACCTGTGTTTCTCTTTTTCTGTTATCATCCTCCTCATGCAATTGCTGTGTTTCTCTTTGATTGTTGTCAGCCTGCTTATGCAATTCCTGTATTGCTCTTTGACTGTTCTAAACCTGCTCACGCACTTCCTGTACCAATCTTTGAGTAGTTTCTGCACTCTCACGAGATTCCACTATTAATCTTTGGTTTACCTCTCTCTCTTTCCCTATCATGCTCACACTGAGTCCTTTGCAGGTTTTCAATCTTTTCATTCACCATTTTTACCAATATTGTTTGTACAGATTTTTGGGAACTGTCCTCTGGATTATTCACTAACTATTCTGTCAACTGTTTATCATGAGTGGGAGTCCAGATACCTGGACTTGCCATTTTTCTTCTGTTTTTCTGGCTTTTTCTGCTCATTTGGTATGAATGTAACACTAATTTTGTGCTAGAACATAATTTTAAGGCAAGCATCAACCAAAGTTTGGTAGTTGCACAGTCAAAAGGCTATAGACACAATCTAGTTCAACAGATACAATCTATTCAACATCAAACAACTATGGATTAATGGGCTAAGAATAGCAAAGAAAAAAATTGGCAAACCAGAAATTATTAGATGTAGGGAGAAATGTGGGGAAAAATAGGATTATAGGGTGGTGGTGAGGTAAGATGAGAGTGAATTTAACCAAGGCCTAATCTCAGAGAGGGAAATGGATTGGACAGAATGATAGGAGAGACATTAAGAAAAAAAAAAAACAAGAAAATATAGAAAAACAAAAATTTAAATTTAAAAAGATAAATACTTGGTTCCGGGCCCAGAAGGCCCGCGGGTCAGAGCTGTGCATTAACCCGGCTGGATGGAGGCGGAGGCGTTGGCCGCGTCCATGCCATCCCCAGGCGTCTCGACCGCCGTGTCTTTGGCCTTGGAGACGGCACGGTGGATGGAGGAAGCTATGTGCATGGCCAAAGACGCCCTTGAAAATAGCGAAGACCCTGTTGGCTATCTTATGGTCTACAACAATGAAATCGTGGGGAAGGGAAGAAATGAAGTGAATCAAACCAAAACTGCTACTCGACATGCAGAAATGGTGGCCATTGATCAAGTCCTAGATTGGTGTCAACGAAATGGCCAGAGTCCTTCTGCCGTGTTTGAACGTACCGTGTTGTATGTCACTGTGGAACCCTGCATTATGTGTGCAGCTGCTCTCCGCCTGATGAAAATCCCGCTGGTCGTCTACGGCTGTCAGAATGAACGATTTGGTGGCTGTGGCTCCGTTCTAAATGTTGCCTCTGCTGACTTACCAAATACGGGAAAACCATTTCAGCGCATCCCTGGATATCGGGCTGAGGAAGCTGTGGAACTGTTAAAGGCCTTCTACAAGCAAGAAAATCCTAATGCACCAAAATCAAAAGTTCGGAAGAAGGAATTTCAGAAATCCTGAACTTGTAATGAAAGACTAAAGCCCCATGGTGACCTGGTTGGAATCCCCAGCCTGAAAAGCTGCTGGCATGGAGGGAGCATATATTATGTGTTGTTTGTTATTCTCCGGGAAGACGGAGAATAACATTTGCACTCTTTTTTTTTTTTTTTTTAATTTTATTTTATTTTATTTGAGAACATACTGTACAGAGGGGTTACAATTACATGGGCAGGATAATGCATACATTTCTTACCAAGCATTGCAGCCTCCTCCTTTGTTTACCCTTCACCTCCCTTCCTAGCCTCCCCCCTCCCTCCCACCCAATCATACCACCCCTCCCCCCCCCCCCCGACATTGTAAAGCTGGTTTTGACATGACATTTTGTACTTCTCATTGTTGCAACAGGTCCACCTGAATCCTTAAACGACTTGTTTGTCCCCATCTCCTCCACATGTTATACTGACATCAAATATAGTGAAAGCGGGGGTTACACTGTGGGGGAGGGACATACAAAGCAACAAAGAGATAATATTATAAATGCGTTAGAAACACATGCATGAAAGAAACAAAAACATTAAAATACATATTTGAGGTTTCGTTTTCCTAACATCACATTATTTGACTTTTTCCGCTTGACTCATACCTATACTAGATATTGCAAATAAGGGAAACCATGGGACCTATGTTTCTTTGGGCCTGGCTTACTTCACTTAATATAATTTTTTCCAAGCCTTTCCATTTCCTAACAAGGGAACAAATTAGTGCTTTTTAAAAGGCTGACAATTGTAAACAACTATTAGCTTCTCCACAGCTGAAAGAACATTTTTATGAAGGGGGGGAAAACTAAAGTTTGAGGTTTTAGGAATTAGCAAACAGTACATGTCTTTAAGCCACAGCTTCAATCCATTCCAGCTGAGTGCAGGCTGGGATTTCAGTATCCATCCACACCCCATCACCTGCACTCATTTGGAATAGAAAGCCATGGTCACGTGTGTCCTTTACAACTGGCTTTTTGGAGGTGGAGTTGGATTTTCATTCTTTATAGCTGTTGTGGTCTCCCAGTGTATTGGCTGCGTGAGTGTGAGTGTGTTTGTGTGTGTGTTGGCTTTAGGGCTTGAACTCAACATGTTCTTACTCTCTGGCTTTTTTGCTCAAACTTGAGTCACACCTCCAGTCCTAGCTTTATGTTGGTTAACTGCAGATGAGTCTCACGGACTTTTCCCCCCAGCTTGGCTTCAAACTGTGACCCTCAGATCTCAGCATTTTTTAGTCGCTAGGATTACAGGTGTTATCCACCAGTGCTGGGCAAGTCTGGCTTTTTTCTACATTGTATATTATTTGTATACACTGTATACATGTTATTGTGAAATCTATTGATTTTATTAAATACATAGAAAAAATGTTTTTAAACAAGTGCCTAAGGGTCATTTAAAAATTGTACCATGTTGCTATAATAGAATCTTAAGATATTTCTGTTTTTAAGGGGCAAAGCATTAAAGGACAATAACATAAATAAGACAGTTCTTTGGTTCCCTGAACCAAAACAGGGTCTTCTGCCTCAGCGAGATTATATTCTCACAAGGAGAGATGGATGAAAAAAACGTAGTTATATACTGGAGGGTGAAGAGTTCCAACAACAGCTGGGCATAGTGATACACATCTGTAACCCCATCACTTGGAAGGCAGAGGGAGTTCAACAAGACACTGTCAAAGCAAAAAGTTACAGCGAAATTAAAAAGGAACAAGATGAAGAATGCCCACTGGTGTGAATGCCAGTTGCAAAATTAAGTAGCATGATACATTTAATCCGAAATCAGCTGTTCCTCATTTGAAAATACAGGTTATAACTCTTAAATTTAATACCTAAAATTTGAAACTGCACAGGAAAGAATATCCACAACAAAACTTTCAGTGTTACTGGGTGCAAGAAGTGTCCTGAAGTTTGGCAGAGCTGCCCTAGGTGCAGTATACGTCTCTTCCCAGAAGGGGGCCTCAGCGTTCCACCAGAAGCCTAGTGCCAGGCCCCAGAGGACTGCTCCTCAGATGGGTTCATTTCTTCAGTGGATTCATTTCCTTGATACAAAGCATCTGTATTTGTTGCTTTTGCCATTTGAGCAACGTCTCCAACTTGTTTGTTTTGAATTACTTTACAGACTGGAATGAAATTGTGGTGGAAGTATTTTTATATTGCTGAGAGTAGCAGCTAATCACAGTTACATGCTTCGAAGGACTTATAATTGCTTGGTTTTGCGTGTGCTGTTTTTAACCGCATTTGAGACATTTTATGAGGAAGGATATGCATGGTTTCAAATCTACAACAATGATGCATGAACCTTCAATTTTATCTACTCTAAAATTTGTCTTCTCATTAAATGTTAGTGCCATGAAAAAAAAAGATAAATACTTAAAAATTATGTAAGTTTATAGATGATATTGAGACATCTATCGAACATTTCACCCAGCAGCATCAGAATACACGTTTTTCTCAGTAGCACATGGAACATTTTCTAAAATAGACCACATTTTAGGCCACAAAGCAAAATTGTCTAAATACAGAAACATTGAAGTTATATCTTGCACTCTCTCAGACCACAAGGGAATAAAATTAGAACTCAACACCAAAAGCCACCAAAGAAAGTCTGGTAACACATGGAGGCTGAACAACACACTGCTGAATCACGAGTGGGTCATTGAGATTAGAAAGGGAATTCAAATGTTCATGCTATTCAACAAAAATGAGCACACAAATTACCAGCTCCTCTGGGACACAGCCAAGGCAGTACTCAGAGGCAAGTTTATAGCTCTAAGCTCCTATATCAACAAATAGGAGAAAACTGAAAACAACAATTTAATGACACATCTAAACCTCCTTGAAAAAGAGCAGCAAGATAAGGCCCAATACAATAGACGGGGAGAAATAATTAAAATTAAATCAGAATTAAATGAATTAGAATCCAAAACAACTATAGAAACAATCAACAAAACAAAGGGATGGTTCTTCAAGAAAATTAACAAAATTGACAGACTTTTAGCAAATCTCAGGAGAAAAAGAAGAGATCACACCCAAGTAAATAAACTCAAAGAAGAGAATGGAAACATCACCTTAAATACAACCAAGATTCAGAACATTATAAGGGAATACTTCTCAAAACTTTATGCTAGTAAGTTTGAGAACTTGGCAGAAATGCACCTTATCTTAGCAAATATTGACATGCCAAAACTAAACCAAGATGAGTTAAACCATCTTCACAGGCCCTTATCAACCATTGAAATACAAAGAGCAATAAGAGATCTCCCAGCTAAGAAAGTCCAAGACCAGATGGTTTTACAGCAGAATTTTACAAGGACTTCAAAGCAGAGCTCACACCAGTACTCCTCCAACTCTTCAATGAAATTGAAAGAGAAAGTTCACTACCGAAAACATTCTATGAAGCCATCATAACCCTCATCCCAAAATCAGGCAGGGACTCATCAAAGAAAGAGAACTATAGACCCATTTCTTTGATGAACATTGATGCAAAACTTCTCAACAAAATTTTGGCCAATCGACTTCAACAATTCACCCAAAAAATCATACAACACGATCAAACAGGATTCATTTCAGGGTGCAAACTGGTACAATATATGCAAATCAATTAATATTATTCATCACATAAACAGGAGCAAGAATAAGAACCAAATGGTTATTTCAATATATGAAGTAAAAGCATTCAACAAGATGCAACACACCTTTATGATGAAGGTTCTGGAAAAACTAGGAATCCATGGAACATTCCTCAATACAATAAAGTCTGTTTATGACAAACCTACAGCCACCATTATACTTAATGGTGAAAAACTAAAGCCATTTCCTGTTAACTCAAGAACAAGACAAGGATGTCCACTCTCTCCACTTCTCTTCATCTAGTATTAGAATGCCTAGCTACAGCAATAAGACAAGATGCGAACATAAAGGGGATCCAAATAGGGAAAGAAGAAATAAAACTCTCCCTCTTTGCAGATGACATGATCTTGTATTTAAAGAATCCCATACACTCCACTCCCAAATTACTCAAGCTGATTCAAAACTTTGGCAAAGTAGCAGGGTATAAAATTAACCCCCCAAAATCAACGGCTTTTTTTGTATGCCAACAATGAGAAAAGTGTGGTTGAAATTAGGAAAGGAACTCCATTTATAATAGCCCCCCAAAAAATAAAATACCTAGGAATTAACTTACCCAAAGAAGTAAAGGACCTCTATGATGAAAACTTAAAAATCCTGAAAAAGGAAATCAACACAGAACTTAGAAAATGGCAAAACCTCCCATGCTCCTGGATTGGGAAGATTAACATCGTGAAAATGGCAATACTTCCCAAGGCTCTCTCCAAATTCAATGTGATACCTATCAAAATTCCAACCTCATTCCTCAAGGAAATAGAAGAGGCAATTCAAAAATTCATATGGAACAATAAAAGACCCTGAATAGCAAAAACGCTCCTCAACGGAAAGAACACTGCTGGAGGAATATCAATACCAAATTTCAAAGTCTACTATAAAGCCATAGTAATCAAAACAGCTTGCTGCTGGCATAAGAACAGACCTCAGGAACAATGGAATACAATTGAAAACCCAGAAATGAACCTACAGACCTGTAGCCATCTAATCTTCGATAAGGGAGCTAAAATAATAGAATGGAAGAAAGGCAGCCTCTTCAGTAAATGGTGCTGGTGAAATTGGTTAACTACTTGTAGAAAACTGAAGCTAGAACCTTATATATCACCCTGCACCAGAATCAACTCCAAATGGATCAAAGACCTTGAACTCAAAGCAGACACCCTGAAAACATTACAGGATGGAATAGGAGAAACCCTAGGTCTCCTTGGCTCAGGCCGAAATTTTCTGAATAGAGACCCGGAAACACAGCAAATCAAAGAAAGGTTGGACAAATGGGATTTCGTGAAGTTCCAGAGCATCTGCATGGCAAAGTACATAACTGGCAAGATCAATAGAAAGCCCACGGATTGGGAGAAGATCTTCACTA